TTTTGCTTCCCATTTTAACAATTTTGAGTTCTGTTGGTTTAGATATCTTACTTTCTTTCTTATCCTGGGATATTGAAAAAGCATAACCTAAGGAAAGTTTTATTTTCAAGTAGTTTAACTGAGAGTTGTACTTCATTGGGAGAAGTGAGAGATAGAGGAATGTTAAATAAGGGAGAAGAGAAACCTGACACTAGGGTAGTTCACTGTCTTGGCAACACTAGGAGTGACTAAACCTAGAGCCACCAACATTTATCACCTCTATATTATAAGGGTTGGTCTATAAGGCTGACTCCCTTTCAGGCTCTGTATACATAAGTTTCAGCTGATTCTCCAGTGTATTCCCTACGATGGAAACCAAGCAATCCAGTGGTAGGACACAGGAAACAGCATTCCTGAGGGAATACTGTTAGATTGCATCTACACAAGTCTGACTGGAATTGTACAGAACTGCTTGCTACAGCTGTGTCTAGCATGAGACATGGTGGCTGAGAGAAATAAAGTGGAATGCAAGAAGTGGCTTATACAACTCTCAAGGAAGGAATACTTTCACCAGGAACACTTCAGTGGTCCCATTCTACCAGAAGTTGGGATTGACAAGCAGCAATTCAGGTTCTTTGTGTTACTGAACCAACAAATAAGGCTCTTATACTGTCTGAGGTCATTCAATCCCTGTTAACAGTGGAAATTCGCATTTCTTTACACAACAAAGAAAGAAAAGACCATGTCTGACACACAAGTTTTTTTTTGAGTAGACACTTATAATAGCTCAAATAAAGGAAAAACACAAGGAGTTAGATTCCCAAGGAACGAACACTTAATTTAGCTGAAGTGATGAAAAAAGACAATATAAACACAGAAGGAGTTATAAATGCAAACTTATTCTCATACTCAATTGCCTTTTGGCAGTAGGAAGGAATCTGATATGTGCAAGCAAACTGGTTGGGATGATGGTAATAGATTCTTAAGTTTTTCTTGGAGAAATAAGGATCTAGCAGTAATTCAATAGTATGACAGACTACAGTGATTATTTTGACCTGAAGAAGAATTAAACATGATCTGGGAGCATTCAATTTTTCTCTTATTCCCGTCTTCCTACTATATTTGCATAGGTCTGAATCATAGATTCTGATCCTTGTAAATGACATGTTTATCTCTCCAGTGGAGAGACGGAGTGTGTTCATGGGCAGCTCAGTTGTAGAAAGTCTTCCACTCTTGTATTATTTCCAAGATATGTGTCTCTCATGATCTCTATTCAGAAGACCACTATGGTTTCTTGTCCACAAGGATATAAGCTCTTACACTTCTAAGATATTTTAGAGCCTTCACAGTGTAGTCCCTGATTATTTTCATGGTATCGCCAACTGTTCTTTACTTCCTAAAGTGTAGGTTCCAGTTACCAGGACTACTGCCCATTCTCTACACAGGCAATAAGTAAGCATCCTTCCATGAGCTTTCTTTATCCCCACTTTTTCTCAAAGTGTAGTCTGATATGATCAGTAATCAGTCAGTACAGAAGACTGAGTTTGCCCTAGGGAGGTCTTGGCTAATTATTTTGTCTTTAATGAGATCTTCCAGGATCCAGATTCCTTTGAGATGCTAAGATCCTTAGGTCCAGGATGAGCCGAGCGAGAAGTGTGAACAGGGCAGTGCAGTCATAGTTGATGGCTTCAGAGGCTTCTATTTTCCGTGCCTACACGGTATAAAGGAGAACAGGATTTGGATCAAGACCCTGCAGTTATCCTTAGATAGCCTGGGTAAGTTTGTAGGAAGGTAAATAAGCTATGCGTTAGTGTCCTAACCTCTGAGTCCTGATTTCTCAGGCTTTTTCATATTCTGAAGGATACTTTCCAGATATGGTAACTTTCTCTTTTCTTTGTCTCCAAATACATTTACATGTTGTAGAAATATTTATTAATAATCATTTACAAATATTTTATGAACAATAACATTTGTTTTTACCATGTAATGAATTCTCACAAGGTTATATCATTTCAAAATAATATCTCTGTGAGACTGGACTTTTAATCCAGAGGTTCTTTGAATATACAGTTGAATTACTTAGGGGGCTTTAAGATGCTACAGACAGGCTGTCTTGAAAAGATTCTAATCACTTTTATTGGGGATCACACAGAAATCCATACTTTTAAAAAATGTATGGTTTTACTGCTCAAAGTATGGCTCATACACCAACAGAGTTAGCATCGCCAAATGTAAAAATAGAACTTCTAAAATGTAGAATTTTAGGCCCAACACCAGACAGAGCTACTAAATCATAACCATCATTTAACAGAGTAGCCACGTACTTTATATGTAAATTAAATTCTGGAAGCTCTGCCCTTTGTGATTTTTGTGTGTAGTCCAGTCTTAGAACTACATAAGTCTGAGGACACAGGGGTGAGGTGTGGAAGGTGGAAAGCACCATTCACAGGAGCACTGAAACTCATGTGCCTGACAAGGGCACCGTGTGCAAGTGCTGTCTTCATGGTGTATAATTCCTGCTAAGACCCTTGATGAGCCTCGCTCATTTCTCAGGGAAGCAACATTTTGAGAAATATGTTTAATTTCATTGATCATTTTCCTAATTGTAGCAAATAAATGTGATATATGAATGTGAAAAAAGATCTAGTAATAGTTTACATGGCTAGATTAAAACAATATGGCAGGGAGAAAATTCTAACAACTGGACTGTTATGTTTCCATGTGGAAGGAACTTTCTTATGATCCTTCATGGCCTTCAACTTTCCTAGCTCTGAGGTACCTAAGTGTGGATATCTGTAGACAAACTGTAATGAGGTCTCAAAAGTATAAATTATCCTTATTTTTGTCTTTCCCTAAATTTCAGAGCCTTTTTATTAGATTAATATTTCTCATATTATCCATGAATAGTCTGAATATAAACATAAGGAAAAAAATGTTAATGTGGTCACATACACATCCATGCCACATTTTCTGGTTATTTAGAATGAAGAGTAGGCAGGAATTTTGTAACAATGTTTCAAGAGTTGGTGTGGCATGGTTCAAGGCAGTGAGTTCTGACAGGATTTAGTAGGAATAGGGATTCTATTTTAAGTGAGATTTTGCTAGATTACACTCAATGTATGTCATAGCCTGGAGGATGGCCAGCAGGCTATCATGAAACACTGGCCATATCCAGGCCCTGTGCTGTGTATAGGCAGTCATGAAGACAGGCATCACCTTTCTTGAGTGGACATGAAAGTGACCTGTAAATAGGTGATCAAAGGAGACAGAAGCTGTGTGGGTTCCAGGAAGAGAAAAGTCAGCGCCTCCCGTGAGCCTACTGGCTGTAGGGCTGAGAATCAAATCTATCCCTCTGCCTATAACAACTGGTCGGTTTGGAGGACCAGCTGAGCTGATAGCAAAGGTACAAAGTGTAAATAAACGCTCATATTGTTTGGTTAATTTTGTAGGCCAGGCCAGCTTGCTGAGCCTTTATTGGGAGGATGATCATGAAATTTAGCAAATACGGGGGATTTCCTTTTATCTTGCCTTTGAAATCCAATATTATTCTGACTGTTTGGGTTTGTTCTGCTTAATTGTTTTGCTTTATTCAACATTCTGTTTTATTTTTGGTTTGATTTTGCTATACCTGATGGAATGAACAACTATTATGGAGATAACAAGGTATACAATGGTGGCTATTGTTATTTTCCTAGTATCCTGCTTTGAAGTTCTGTACCAGTTTTGCTGCTTTGTTTTGACTGGCTTTGTTCTGTTTTGTCTTGTTGGATTTTATTATCTTTAAAATAAAAAAATAGGTGATCAAAGGCATTGAGTGCTATGAGATGAGCACATGATGCTGTGGGGACATAGCAGCAGGTGTTACAGGGATCCCTAAGTTTAACTGAGAACAAATGACACATAATGTACCCAAAGTTAGGAGTAAGTGAGGCGAAGGGAGGGCAGATGAGAGATGATGTCAACCAGGAGCAAGAGAAAATGGGAAAGATTGGAGTCAAGAAATGACTTAGGAGCCAAACATTGCTACATAAGGGCTGAGTTACTGGTTCAGATGTGACTGTGGAAGTAGATGAAAGACAGATCATGAGACATCTTTTTCTTCTACCTTTAAAAGAATTTTACCGTTATCTTAGGAACAGGAAAAACCCATGAAATTTCAGCAGGTCAGTGACGATCAGATTTTCACCTTATTTCGCCACAGTGTGAAGACATTGAAATGAAGCAAGTGTGCAAACAGGAGAGGTGAAACAATAGGCTGCTCTAATCATCCAGACATATTGTCAGCCTGAGACAGAGTGGTCCATTCAGACAAGTGGATAAGTTAGAAAGGGTAAAGTTCAGGAATTATCAGGCTTTCTAGACTAAATGTTTATGGAGTAGGAAGAGCTCTCAGAGTTTGACTTGATCCTAGATTCCTTTCACTGAATTTTGAGAGACTGGAGGGGATGGACTGGGAGATGGGAAGAGTGAGTTATGATTTCATTTAGCATCTGTTAAGATGAAAATGGTTTTGATTTGTCTATGGAGAGATAGTCAGTAAGCAGGTGGTAACAGAGGGCTGAAGGTGATAGAGAAGTTTGCACATGAAGTGTGAATGGCAATTGATGCCATAGGAATAGGTAAAATATCTCAGTGCCGTGTCTGTGGAATTATAAGGAACTAGGGTTTTGTACAAAGCCCCCCAAACAGTGATATATAATAAATTGTTAGAGAAGAAAAAAAATGCAACTGTTTAAAATGAAATAGCCATGGAGATATCAGATGACTGTGTGATCACACAAAAGCTAATCCATCAGAATGTCTAGAAAAAGAAGGGTCAATTATATAATATGATGAGAAGAAATTGAATCTGAGAAGTGACTCAGATTTAATTATGTGGCATGTTTTGAATTGTAGATTGTTTTGGATATAGAAGGTGAGATCAATTACTGCATAGTCTCTTAGGAGACGTAAGTATCATAGAAATATGTTTATTTGGATTTTAAGGGACCCTTATTATTTTCTCTTAAAGATGCCAGAGACAGAATGAAAGGAAGGAATCAAACTCTCCTCTCAGAGTTCCTCCTCCTGGGTCTGCCTCTCCAGTCCAAGTATGAAATCCTGTTCTATGGCCTGTTCCTCACCATGTATCTTACCACCATCCTGGGGAACCTCCTCATCATCATCCTCATACAACTGGACGCCCATCTCCACACACCCATGTATTCTTTTCTCAGCAACTTGTCCTTCTCTGACCTCTGCTTTTCCTCTGTCACAATGCCCAAGTTGCTGAAGAACATGCAGAGCCAAGTCCCATCCATCCCTTATGCAGGCTGCCTGACCCAAATGTACTTCTTCTTGTTTTTTGGAGATCTGGAGAGCTTTCTGCTTGTGGTCATGGCCTATGACCGCTATGTGGCCATCTGTTTTCCCCTGCACTACACCAGGATCATGAGCCCCAAGCTGTGTGTGTGCCTGGTGATGCTGTCCTGGGTGCTGACCATGTTTCATGCCCTGTTGCACACCTTACTCATGGCCAGATTGTCTTTCTGTGGGGACAATGTGATCCCCCACTTCTTCTGTGATATGTCTGCACTGCTGAAGCTGGCCTGCTCTGACACTAGTATTAATGAGGTGGTGATATTCATCATGGGAGGCATCATTCTTGTTATTCCATTTCTCCTCATTATTGTTTCCTATGCACGAATTGTATCCTCCATTCTCAAGGCCCCTTCTGCTCAGGGCATCCGTAAGGCTTTCTCCACCTGTGGTTCCCATCTCTCTGTGGTGTCACTGTTCTATGGTACAGTCATTGGCCTGTACTTATGTCCATCAGCTAATAATTCCACTGTGAAGGAAACAGTAATGGCTCTAATGTATACTGTGGTAACTCCCATGCTGAACCCCTTCATCTACAGCCTGAGGAACAGAGACATGAAAGAAGCCCTGGGAAGAATCATTTGTAAGAAAATGTTCTTTTGTCCATAATATTAATATTTGTAATTATAATACAATTTTTTTGGTTGATACATTAATTTCTAAATATTATTCTTGACTTTTTTCGCTACTAGGGAAGTTTCTATGCAAGCAAAATATTACATAAATGTCCAGTAAGTAAAAAAAAACTGAAATGAAGATGTGTAGTTGATATAGATAGAAGTTCTCAGTGACATTCCAGGGAGGTTATCCTATTTCTTAATTCCAGGTGATCCTGAGCAACTTGAATGTAAAAAATTTTGTTGAAACCTGCCTGTAGGTATTAAACCACTAAATTATTATGTGTTATCTTTGAAAACCACCTTTAATTGATATTTTAACCTATCATGCCAATACTAATTCCCAAACATCAGTTTCCTACTCCTTATTCTAAACTACACAATTAACTGTTGAATAAAATACTTCTAAGTATTCCCATCATTCTGTCTCTCAATCTTTTTTATACTCTTTATTTTAATGTTTAAATTGTTTTCTTTTAAAAACTTGACCTTAACCTGAAATAAACTTTTACCTTTCTTTGTTTTGGTAGTTTAATTTGAATTTGGGTAGAAACTCAATCATATCTGGGGCCCTGAAGTTGTCCCCTTAAAGATGCTTATCAACTCTTTAATAATCTGTTTTCTTTCCTTGTTATTTCAGAGTTTATCAACATACTTTGTATCCATGATCTTATTTATTGTTGTGAAAAGCCAGCAATGAAAAGCAGTCTTATTATAGTGTTAAAGATTGAAAAATGTGGAATTTGAACTTTTAAAGTCCCAAAGTGGGTCAGCAACAAATCTTTTCAGGGTCTGTCTTTTATTACTATATATATGGTACTGTCTAGGTTTTCAGCCTTGGTCCATTAATTTTGTTGGTGTCTTCCTAAGTGATGACATCCAAGCTTGTTTCAATCTTCTCCTCCAGGTACCAGTTTGTATTCTCATCTACCAGTGGACATCTTCACTTGATGCTTTATGACATGTACATACATAGAACTCTATGATTTACCCATATTTTATTGTTGTTATATATTATATTTCTTGATTTGTACTGTCTTCCAGGTAGTTACCCATGTGTATGTCTGTGATGTGCATGTTTGTATGTATGTGTGTGTGACACCTTGGTTTTCAGACTTAATTACCTCTATGATTTTAGAAAAGATAACCATGTGTGTGTCTGTGTGGGAAAGATGACCATGCATGTGTCTGTGTGGGAATAAATTGCCATAGTTAGGTTTGTCACCCAATGCACAGTTTGCAAGCAAAAACAGAATTTTGACAAATCATTTTGTTTGTGAACCAAATTATTTGCAAACAAAAGGATTTGTGGACTATTCAGACTGCTTTTCTTTATCATTTAATATTATGGCTCTTGACTTATTTTAAGATTCTCCGTGTATTTATAAAAGCGCACCAGTTTCTATAATGGGTAAACTTTCAAGTCGTAACAATGTAGTACAATGAATTCCTTTAGTGTTTGGCCTACATATGGTTTACATCTCAGCAAATTTAAGATGGTGGACATTATATCAAATGCCTTTTACTGAACACACTGGTAGAAGACTAGAGATAAGTAACAGAAGGAATTTGAGAAAATTCAAATACATGGATATTAAGCAATATGCTTCTAAACAATGAATGGGTAAGTGAAGAAATTATAAAAGCAATTTAAAAGTATCTTGAGGTAAATGAAAACAGAAGCACAATAAAACAAAATTATGAAATGCAGGAAGAGCAGTTTTAAGAGGAAAGTGTATAGTAATGAACATCTAGATCCAAGAAATAGATCATAACTATTACATCTAAGGAAAATATAAAAAGAAAAAATTAAGCTCATTATCAGTGGGAGGAAAGAGACAATTAAATATTAGTTAAAAATGAATGGGACTAGAGATATAGTACAAACCATCAGTGAAACAGTTCTTTTTATCTTTGAGAAAATAAAGACAGATCATTAGCTAGACTGCTGATGAGAAAAACATTCAAGTAACAGTATCAGAAAAGAAAGAAAATGAATTTCACCTGACTTCACAGAAATTTAAAGAATCATAAGAGATTATTATAAACAATTCTATATCTCAAATTGATTAACTGAAAAGAACTGGAGAAAGATTTACATACAAAGGATCTGCCAAGACTGAATCACAGCAAAACCTAAACGACAGATAGTGAAGGAGGTGGAATTTGTAATGTTTTCCATCCAGAAAAACTTAAGACATGATGGCTTCCCTGTTGACTTCTACAAAAAACTTAAAGAACTCATATCATTTCTTCACAAACTCTGAAAAAATTTATACAAGAGGCAATACTTCCAAATTCAGCATTGCCCTGAAATCAAAGCCAGACAGGGACATCACAAGAAAAGAAAACTGTCCAGTATTTCTTTCTTCTTTTATCTAATGAAAAATAAAGTTTTGTAGGAAAATAAGAGAAAAATAATTGTTGATCAATTGTGTATAATTATCATTAAAGTACTCAGAGTATAAAACAGACCAAAAAGATTATTACAAAGAATAAACGGATAGGTGCAGAGGAGGAGCTGGGCAGATCTGGGGTGCCCTCACCGGCCTCTCTGTGTGTCTGGAGGACTCTGGATATCTCCGCCCAGACTGTTTGAGTCCCCCCAGGCTCCCAGGTGCAGTGAAGGGGAGAGGTGGGTTTGAGGCTTCCACATCAGCCTCCCCATTCCTATTGCACTTGGAGAACTGCTGAGCTCCCGACGGGTGGGCGGGCCCACACTATCAGCGGAGCCCAGCCTGTTGTGCTGCCACACCTGGCCATCGGTGTGGGTGTGTAGAGGAGGAGCTGGGCAGATGTGGGTTGCCCTCATCGGCCTCTCTGCATGTCTGGAGGACTCTGGATATCTCCGCCCAGAATGTTGGAGTCCCCCTAGGCTCCCAGGTGCAGTGAAGGGGAGAAGTGGGTTTGAGGCTTCCACATCAGCCTCCCCATTCCTGTTGCACTTGGAGAACTGCTGAGCTCCTGACGGGTGGGCGGGCCCAAACTATCAGCGGAGCCCAGCCTGTTGTGCTGCCACACCTGGCCATCTGCATGCAGAGGAGGAGCTGGGCAGATCTGGGGTGCCCTCATCAGCCTCTCTGCGTGTCTGGAGGACTCTGGATATCTCCACTCAGACTGTTGGAGTCCCCCCAGGCTTCCAGGTGCAGTGAAGGGGAGAGGTGGGTTTGAGGCTTCCACATCAGCCTCCCCATTCCTGTTGCACTTGGAGAATTGCTGAGCTCCTGACGGGTGGGCGGGCCCACACTATCAGCCGAGCCCAGCCTGTTTTGCGGCCACGCCTAGCCATCAGTGTACAGAGGAGGAGCTGGGCGGATCTGGGGTGCCTGCATTGGCCTCGCCGTGTGTCTGGAGGACTGTGGATATCTATGCAAGCAGGGTGAGACCACAGGTTCCTGAGGCACTGAGGCCTGTGGTGAGTACCCTAACCCGGCTGCAATTGAAGAAGTGTGGAACTTCCAAGGGGCAGGTGGGCGCACAGTGTCCCTGAGGCCCAGCTTGTCTGGAACTGCGGAGTTCTGAGCAGGCAGAGGAGGGCCACTGGTTCTGTAGGCCCAATGGCTTGGCGTAGCATGGTGCCAGAGTCTCAGTAGCTCCAAACATAGAAGGGGATTTTCAACAGATCCTGAGGAAGCTTTCAAATAACACTTGAAACACAGAAATATAGAAAAATGACAAAACGAAAGACCAAATTACAACCTCAAACCTCCAGCCCATCTCAAGAAACCCTAGGAGCGATGTATATAGAAGAAAATATATCCCATCCACCTCATATATCGGACACAATAGCTATTGAAATTGACAAGCAACTCCAGGAAGCTTTAAAGAAATTCAAACTCGAAATAATCTCCCAGATAAAAGAAGAAATGATAAAAGAAATGAAAGAGATTCTAAATATATCTAAAGAAAACACAGATAAAAAATTGGAGGAACTAAATAAAAAGAATCCCTAGATGAGCAATATAAGAAACAAACAGAATACATAATGCAGATGCACAGAGATATACAGGAAATAAAAAACTCCACTGAAAGTTGTAAAAACCGCCTTAATGAAAGTGAAGATAGAATTTCAGACCTTGAAGACAGGATTTCAGCTAGTGAACAGGAAAGGAAAGATCTTTTGAAAATAACAAGGAATCAGGAAACAACAATTCAACAACTGCAAGATGATGCAAAGAAGAATAGCATAAGAATGATAGGGATTAATGAAAAGAGGGAGACAACATGAAGGATGTCAGGAGGATATTTAGAGAAGTAATAGCTGAAAATGTCCCAAGCATGAGATCAGAAACTGACATCAGGATCAGTGAAGCATATAGAACTCCAAATAGTCATAACCAAAATAAAACTACACCCAGACATATAATAATCACCATCCCAGAAATCCAACACAAGAATAGATTACTAAAAGCTGTCAGAGAGAAAAGACAGATCACTTATAAGGGAAAACCTATCAGAATCACAGCGGACTTCTCAGCACAAATGATAAAGTCAAGAAGAGCATGGAGTGAAATATTCCACATCCTAAAGCAAAATGATTTCCAACCAAGACTGATATATCCTGCAAAACTATCATTCAAAATAGATGGTGAAATACGATACTTCCATGACAAAGAACAGCTGAAGAACTTCATGAACACCAAACCAACCCTGCAAAAAATATTGAAAGACAGTTTAGATACACAAAGGAAAAAACCACTAAGCAAAGCAAATAATTAAACAGAACAGAAAGATAAAGATGCAACAGCAGAGAGATAACATTCCTACAATTAACCAGCATTTAACAGTAATAACCATTAATGTAAATGGTCTCAATGCACCAATCAAAAGAAACAGACTAGCAGAATGGATCAAGAAACAAAATCCAACCATATGCTGTTTACAGGAAACCCATCTAACCCAGAAGGATACTCACAGACTGAAAGTCAAAGGATGGAAAACAATTCTTCATGCAGCAGGAATCCAAAAAAAGGCAGGAGTAGCCATTCTGTTTGCAGACAACGTGAACTTTAAGCCAACAATGACCATAAAGGACAAAGAAGGTCACTACATACTCGTAAGGGGAAAACTCCAAGAGGAAGAGATAACTATCGTAAATATATACGCACCAAACTCCAGAGCACCCAGTTATATAAAACAATTAACAGAAATGAAAAGTCAAATTATCAGTAACACAATTGTAACAGGAGACCTTAATATGCCATTGACACCAAGGGATAGATCAACCAGACAGAAAATGAGCAAAGAAATAACAGAACTGAATCACACCTGTGAACAAATGGGTTTGATAGACATATACAGAATGTTCCATCCAACAACATCAGAATACACATTCTTCTCAGCAGTACATGGATCATTTTCTAAAATAGACCATATATTAGCTCACAGAACATATTTAAGCAAATGCAAAAGAGTTGAAATCATCCCTTGCATGTTATCAGATCATAGCGCTCTGAAATTAGAAATTAATGATAAAAGATATTGCAAAAATTCCGCAAACACATG